TTAGCTATCCACTCTCACGTACATCTCTCCTCCATTCCCCACCACATCCCCATTTCCAGTGCGTGCTCTGGAAGTGGGATGTCCCAGGGACCGCGTGGGGCAATCCCTACCTCGTGGTGATGCCTGACATCATGCACCAGGCGGACCTGGGCATCATGAGCCACATTGTGGCTGTCGTGCGCAAGATGAAGAAGCGGCGTGTGAAGCAGATGGACAGGTCAGTGTTTTGGGGATTGGATTCGTTGCTCTTCGTCACATTTACTCAAACCATAAGTTCTGTCCTATTACTGACATGTTTCTGCCCTTTTGCCACCGCTGAACGGATGTGTATGGGCAGGCGCCTGTCTCTCATTCGCGACCGCACGCGCCTGAATCACATGCGCCTGCCGGAGAGCGCCTACTTCGAGACCGGAGCATGTGTGGCGGCCTATGAGCACAGGGCCGTCATGCAGGCATGAACCCTCCATTCCCTGTTGCTTGTCCTGGCCTAAACCCTCAAGCAGTCTGCTCATGCTGCCATTGTTTGTCCCAACTCCTCACACCATCTGTGCTCACCCTCCCCTTTGCTGCTATCCACATTCTTTGCAGGTCATGGTGTTTGTTTTTGCAGGCCTGCTTCGCCAGCCCCAGATGGATGCCGTTCGTGCCTATCTTGGCTGGTACATCCTGTGCTCCCAGCCTCAGGGGCACACTGAGCGGTCCCTCCGGGAGCTGAAGAAGATGACCTCTCGGTAATAATACCACGCATGTAAACCCCCGTGCATGGGATGAATGCTTGGCTACTGTAAATGTGCTCTTGTAGTAGGCAATCTTGTGAGGATGTTTGGTGCTAAACTTTGATAGGAAAGGATCAGGAATAGGAAAACCAAATGAATAAGTAGACTCTGTGATTGCATGTGTTGTCATCTCCCACTCCCATCAGGCTCGTTGAGCAGTTGCAGGCTGCGTTTCCAAAGCAGCCATCCTCTTGGTGCCTTGTGAAAACACATCTCATGTCGCACTACGTTGACTCACATACGTCGCGCGGGTCATGTGACTGAATTCAGCACCAACATGTTCGAGCACTTGCACGGACCGTTGGTAAAGAGGATCTACCGTCGGTCCAACAAGCGCAATGTAGATGGGCAGATCATGAAGTTCCATGCTAGGCGCATTCCGGATGTGGTGCCGGTGGATGATCCTGCTGGCCGGGACACCGCCATGCGGCAGGTAAATCTGTTTAGTGCTTGAATTGCATGGATATGAATGCAGAATGTAATAATATCAATAGCATATGTTGGCAGGCGATTGAGACCGACACACGGACGCTCATCAAGGAGTCATACTTCCTCCCTGTGGAGTTACCACAAGAACCCACCTCCACCAACTGGTTTGCAAGGAAGTGGGCCAAGCAACACCCTCGTGCCCAAGCTGCCCTCAAGGATGTGCTTATGCGTTATGCAGGATGCGTCACCAAGATTCGAGTAAGTAGTTGCAAGTTTATGCAATCAACCATCATTTGGCTGGCTCGTATCATCATGACTAACATCAACTGTTATGCAGGCCCATGCATCGCTGGCAATCCCTGCAGCAGACGACGCCAGCTTCTCAAGAGTTTCTCACTTCGTTCGAGCAACCCCTGACTATTTTGAGAGGCCATGGTACTCGGATGTTGCAGTGGAGGGTGTAAGGTATGGTCGGAGAGAGGAGTGGTATGCAAGGTTGCTTCTGTTGTTCCATACAAAAATACGTGGAGAGAGGGAGGAGCTGGCTTACGTTAGATATTGGAATGCAAGCGGAGAGGATACAGCAACAGGATGTCTTCGCCTCAAGTGGACGACAGGAATGTACGCGTACTCCGTGATTCCGATTGAAGCGCTGCTCCGCCACGTCCATGTGGTGAAGGCATTCCACCTGGACAGTACCTATCTCCTTAATAAGTATCAAATGTGATGCATTTATCTTGTAATAAAATGGCCAGCATATTTTCAAGCAGACACATTTTAGGGAAGTCAAAGCTTAAAAACCAATTACAAAATCACAACAAATTTGGCACGCTTCAAATAAACGGCAATGTACCGGAGTCGCGGATTCGATCTAGACTTCGACAAACAAACGCGGTCCGATTTCATTCCGTGATTGGTCGCGATTTGGCTTCGGAACTTCGCCAACCAAAACACCTGAACTGTACCCCCCTTCGAACCCCCTTCAAAAACCAAGGTTTTTTGTGATGGTCCCAGTCGACCTGCGCGCGGCTCCCCGTCGCCCTTCGCGGCGGCCCCGTCGACCCGCGCGCCGCCGTCGGGGACCCGTGCGCCCTTCCCCGTCGACCCGTGCGTCGCCCTGCGGCCCCCCTCCCTGCACACCTGACTTCGCTTTCCGCACACCCGAGTTCGCTTCCCGCACGCATGTGCACGCTTCGCGCACACCTGAGCTCGCTTACCGCACACTCAGGGTATGGGGGTGACGGGTATGGGAGTGGCGGGTGTGTGAGCCGTCCCCTGCTCCTCCTCCTCCTCCTCCGTCTCCCACTGCTGCATCTGCCGCTGAGGGGGGTGGGTGTGTGGGAGCCGAGGGAGTGGTGCTAGGGGGGTGACGTGGGAGTGGAGCTAGGGGTATAGCAGGGGGTGTGTGAAAAGGGGTGGGACAGCTGGGGGAGGTTGACCGGAGGTAGCCGTTGTGACGTTAGCAGCGCCAGTAGTCCGGAGGTTGAGTGCTCCGGTAGCCCAGCGAACCTGCTGCGCCAGTCGCCCGTGGGTCCGTTGCTCCTGCTGCTCGTCTTAGCGCGGAGCCAGATACTCCTGTAGTCCGGAGGTTGAGTGCTCCGGTAGCCACCGTGCGCGCGCTCCTGTTGCCCGTGTGACTGCGGCTTCACCTGTCGCCTTCTATCTCCTCTCCTCTCACAGTCCCGCCTCCTCCTCCTCACTTGCCCTTTGTGAATACCTCTAGCTTTGCTTGTACTTGTGAACCTGCTCTATGACTGCTTGCTGTGCTGATTATACCCCACTTTGACTATGGGGGTGTGTCAGAACATTATGCTTGTCTAGTCTGTAGTGGGGTACTCAATAGTGAGTATAACCTTTTGGGCTTGCTATTTGTATCCCCCTCCTTTCTAGTTCAAACCCCTTCTCCTCTTTTGCCTATTCTCTCTTGCCTAGCTAGCTAAACCCTAGCTATGGCTTCTTCATTCTAACTACTATTTTGACAGGCGGTAGTGGAGAGCGTGAAAAAGGGTGCTCGTGCATCGGTTGACAGGTGGGAGCTGAAATCCGTGGATGCCAATATTTTTTCGCGGGTCATGCTGCTTATGGCGTACAAGCAGCTCGAGGTACATTGTGGTTGGCGGTAAAAATGGCGATAATTGCAATTAATAATCGCATCTGTTTTTTAAATCAAATTTGTGATTCTCATGTCTCGTGCGAACTCAGAGCGAACTGGAACTCTGCGGTGACGACTTGGCTTCCCTTATCTCCACGCTCGACTTCCTGAAGATCGAAGTGGACACCATCATGTCACCTTCCTGCGGAGATAAATGCAGTGACGGGGATACTTGGTCTGGTGCTAGAGCCACAGTACCCCCGCCTCCGTCATTCACTTGCCTCTCGTGTCCGCCACTTCTGCGCCAACTGCGGCCTTCGCCTGTTGTTCCTGTGCCACCGGTGTTTCAAGATCCGCTTTTATTCGAGGGAGATCCATATAGATTCCGCCTCAACCTATGCCATTATGCCGTCTGGTGCAATTCATGCTGCCGCCCACTAGCACCATGAGAAATTTGCAGCCACGGCAACTTCTGGTAAGAATTTTGCAGATATCTCTTGATACCCTCTAAGTCATCTAGCTCTTGTTTCACCTATCATTTTTCTTTCTCGCTGTGCCTTTTTCTGCTCTTTTTTTAAATATGACAGGTCCGGGGTTAACCAAGTACAGTTAAAGGAAGTTCAGCCAGATCTGTGTGCTGCACGTCTGCGCCTCTACACTAAGGTTCATGCGATGTATGATGACCCAAATTCTGGACCTGCACAGATTCAATGAGGGCTGAGTAGTGCGTCACTTGTGCTGCCCATCACATTCCCTCCAAGAGGTTCCTTGTTTTGCACATCATGTTAGAACCGCCGTTGCTTTGTCTACTTCTATAGGAATGTTTCTTGGTGCGCAAAATGTGCGTGTAGCTGGGAACCTAAGTCCTTTGCAGACGCGTCGTGCTTTCTCCACTTGGCTGTTGAGCAAGCTAAGGGGCTTTTAGCGGAGTGGAGAGCGCCACGAGCGCCCACTGGGTGGAGTCGGCGCAGCTCTGCTCCATGATGCCCCGCTCGCACCACCGCCGCAAAGGTACCCCTTGGGATCGCTCGTTGACTGCACCACTGACGCTGCCGTGAGTGGAAGGGATAGCGGTCACTTATTCGTTAATCTAATACCTATCAAATCCTTTTACAACTAATATTATCGTGCTATAAATGGCTGCTTGTACCTTGCACAATTGGTGACGTGGTGGTTGTGACCGGTGCAACTGCAGGGAGGTGAGTTAGGGTTGGCCATCACTTGCCATCTGTCAGGGATAGTTGATCACCGACGTGTTGGACCAGGGCTATTTTTAGTTTAAAGGCACTCTTTCATTTCTAAGTGAAATCCGCGCGCCACTCAGCTGGGCCGCGTGGCGTGCTAAATATGCAGGGAAAGTCCAGGTGCAGCCGTGGCACTGGTGCACTTTTAGGAGCACAGGGACAGGCAAGAAGTGCATGTGCAATAACTACTGGCAGAGTGCGTGCTGGGAGGGAATGAACATATGAGGGGTTGAGTGAGAGTCACCGAGGAAGCGGTTCCAGTGAGATTGGCCCGTCTAGCGCTCCAGTGGGAGTTGCCTCCTGTTGAGCACAACCATGCATGCAGCCGTCTGTGGCTGTTGAATGGTGCGGAGCTGGACGGTACAACACAGTCAATGTGAAAGCTGGGTGAGAAATATTGTGATCACATGTCAATGGATATGCATCTTGAAGCAGCTAGTCATGTGTGATGTCTTGCCGATGTGTGGTAGGATCGTTATATCACATTTCCCCACCAAATCCCCTCATCTCCCTACCACCCCCCATCCCCCATTCGCGAGCCAGGGTTCCGGGAGACACTAAGAGCGGACATAGACGTGGGGCGGTTTCAGAGGGAGGAGACAGCAGCGCGCAACATGAACCTCGTGCTGGTGTCGCACGGGCTCACCCTGCGCGTCTTCCTCATGTGTTGGTACAAGTGGACAGTGGAGCAGTTCGAATGGCTCTACAACTTCCCCAACGCCGGCTGCATGATCATGCAGCTGGGGCCGGGCGGCAGGTACGCTATGGCAGGTCGAGCTGCTTGCTCCAAAGTGGTCGAGAATTTAGTATGGCAGGTTGCACATGCCGGTTACCACATACGTTTCGGGTGCGCTGGAAGGAGTATGTGGGATTGGCCATGGGTGCACGGGATGCTGGTCGTGCACTCTCATTCACGCGCATGCACTTCTTTTCTTGGTTAACCTACTCCCTCTTTCTGTCTCTTACATGCGCTTCATTCACCCCATCCCTTCGTCACTTACCTCGGTATCTGATTGTTTTTAGCCTTTTCCCTCGTGCCATTATGGCCTTTCCTTTCTTCTTTCTTTTTGGTACATGCATCACCTCTGAGCATGCAGCTGCAGCTTTTTCTCTTCCCCTTCTCTCCTATCTCCTCTTTCCCTGTCTCACTCCTCTCACCCATGCACGTCCTCTATCTATCATCCATGCACGTGCCCTCCCACTCACCCTTGCACGTCCTCTCACAGGTACAGCCTGCGCATGCACGACAGTTTAGGAGCTGAGGGTCTCACCTTTGCATGCCCTATCCGACTCACATGTGCCCCCCCCCCCTCACTCGCCCATCCACACACCCCCACAGGTACAGCCTGCGCATGCACCACAGCCGCGAGGAGCTGAGGGCGTTTGGGTTGACAGAGAGCATGATCGATGACCAGGAGTGGTGAGCCTCATTCCGCCTTTGTCACACCACGTAGCAGTATTGCCTGCATGCATGCACCACAGCTACGAGGAGTTGAGGGTGTTCGGGATGACAAAGAGCATGATCGAGGACCAGGAGTGGTGAGCCTCATATTCTTCGGGTCGGCTCAAAGACTGTTTTTTGAGTCGACGCATTGATTGTTTGTTGGTTCAAAGCAAGACTGTTTTCTGAGTCGGCTCAAATCCGCGAGGAGCTGAGGGCGTTCGGGATGACAGAGCATGATCGATGATCAGGAGTGGTGAGACTCATGTTCCCTGCATGTGCACATCTGAACAATAATCTCTGTGGATCGACCTCTGCGAACAATCAAGTCTGAGAAACGTGTCAGCATGCTCTGAGGGATGTAAGGCTGAGTGTCCTATTTCCTTGCGCTTGCCTTGGGGTCGGTAGTCTGCTCCAAGCCCTGCTTCCACAGCACTGGAGGATCACCATTTTTTTCCCATTCCTGCCCAAACAGAAACTCCCAGGCTGGAACTATGTTCGGGGCAGCTCGTTGATGTTTCCTTGCTGCCCTTCTATCACATGCTATCCCTCCAGGCAAACTACAGCCAGGCCAGGGAATTTGATCCCGTGTTGGCTGACGACAGGAGAAGGGTTCTTTGACCACTTGGATGAGAGCGAGGAGTACGGCATTCAACGCAACTCATTTTTTAGACGTCTCAAAAACACTCTTCTTTCACGTGGCAATCAATGCAGCTCACTGAGGCCTCTTTGCTGCCCATTCTTTTGCCTCCTGCCATCACATTCCCTCCAGGCAAATCACGGCCAAGCCGGAGGATTTGAACCCATGCTGGCTGACGTCAGGCACGGGGTTCTTTGACCACTTTGATTAGAGCGAGGCGTACGGCATTCAGCGCGACTACATGTGCAAGGGAATCTCGGAGCTGTGCGACGAGGAATTCGGTGATGGGGTGTATCGCACCCATTGATTGAGTTCTTTCAGCGGCGAGTCTTTGCTGTGAAGCAAGCGGAAAAACTGGGTGGTTCTAAATGCCTCTGAAAGTGTATGTGTCCCTGCAAGCTACGAGATACAAGTGAATATCCCCTGCAGCAAGAAGTGCTGGTATTATTTGTCCACATACTGTACATATATCCTAAACTGTTGGAAACAATTGATTTAGCGCCTCTGTCGTGTCGAAACACCAAGTCAGAAGCGAAGCGAAACATATCGAAGCATTAGCGAGTCAACCCTCGGAGGTTGAACAACTGCTGGAGGTTACGCGAAAGTCAAAGGTCAGCGACCTTTGACCTGACAAGTACAACGCGACGGCAAGGACAAACAACTGACTCGCTATTGAGCAGTTGTCCGAGTCGTTACTGTGTCGAACCGCAACAGCAATAGTAAAACGGTTATTATCTGTATCTCTTCGTATTCCTTGTACTCTTATAAAAGCTTGTATCCTTTTGTTTTAATTAATCTACTTTGCCCTCACATCCTAGCGCAAGGTGGTTCACAAACTTCTCATTAAACGCTTCAGCTATTACATTGTCCTACTCAGAATTTAGTCCTGCAAAGATCCTAAGGGCTTTTCTCAGCCCAACATAAACCTCGTCGACCAAAGGAGGTGAGGTGATGCATACGCTATGCTTATGATAATCTATTTTAGGAATTACTGTTCGTCCAGCTCGCGGCCGGTCATCCCCCCACAGTGCAAGACTTGTCCAACAACCATTTTTGACATTTGTGCCCGAACCACCCACCCACACGCGTAGGGTGGTAATAATCTGCGGCCTAACCCCATGACTTGGTGAAGCACCCCATGTTAGATACACAGTGCACCTAACAAAAATGCAGTAATGACCTGCACTCTTCTAGAATTTCTAAAACAGCAAGCGTGCAGAATTGCTACTTGTGAAATATTAAAGGTGAGCTCGCAATGCGGGATGGTTGGTGGTGCGACAAGGCGCAACCGGAGGGAGGTGAGTCAGGCTCGGTCAACCCAGCCATCACTTGCCATCTGTCAGCGATGGCTGATCACCGACGTGTTGGACCGACCGTCTCTATTTCGCTCACGTCCACTCAACCCCCAGGAACAGCGGGCGTGCGTTCTAAGCCAACGGGTAACACTTGTTTCGCATACGTTCGTGACCATTTTCTGAAGTCAAATGTGCAGGCATTCGTGACTTTGGTCCCAGCCTGTCGATGAGCGAAAGCGCGACACGGTGAGGGAAGGGGAAGGGAACTTCGCCTGATGATGTCGAGACTAGACTTGAGGGGAGATGGGTGGGTGTCGTGAGGGTGGAATGGTAGGTTCGCTGCTTTTGCTGTATTGCGTGTTGCTGCCCCCCAACCCAACTTGTGCGGTACGCACATCATCATCGACTGCGTGGGGCGCGAGAGTAGATGGCTTCAACCAACCATGGCTGCCGCATTGCCGCATCAAAGTGGAGAGGTACAAAACAGCCACACCGACCAGTGCAGTGATGCATACGCATCTGGTTTGAGAGAAGGATTCGATTAGTGCCAGCTTTACCCGCTAAAACAACCCGCTACCGTCGAGCTAAGGTGTAGCCGACTCAAAAAACGTGTCAGATATTATCGCCTGTCGCGGACCGCATGGTCCGTTGAGGGCATATACTGCCTGCACCGCATCGAGTCCGCTATCCGCCATCGTAGGAAGTCACATCTCACAACGGCTCGCATGCACCTCTTGAAGCCATTATATAGCTCCCACTATCACAGAGTCTACGCAGTACCGCTTGCACTGCCGAGCTATCGATTACCCTTTCCGCAGCACGAAGTCGCTGTGAGTCGCACAGCCTCGCAGACGAAACGGAAACTCGCGGTAGGATTCTCACCGCCGCCAGGCGCGCAGATTGCCGCCTGGCCTCGCTCTCCCCGCCGCGCTCGTTCCGTTTCTCATCCCCGCGCCGACCATGGCGTCGACGGCCTTCCCCTCGCTCTCCTCCACTGTAGCCCCTCCGCCTTCCGCCCTTTGGTCCGCCAAACTCTCCGTGAGGTCCCCCCAGCCTTCCCCCGTCAGCTCGCTTGCGCCGATTCCCCCATTTTCGCGCGCTCATACGCGGAGGCCACAGCACCTTTTGCCGTCGCTCATCGCATCATCTTGTCCTCCTCCTTACCTCGTCCCACCTAACCCCGCGCTTGAATACTGATTGTCTCCTTTGCTGAAACCCCCACTTCTTGCCTTTCCCCCAGGCTCCATACCCGACAAACGAGCCGTGGCAAAACTTCGTGCTAGGCCAGGGCGGCAGCCCGGAGCTCGTGAACCCGTACGTGGTTCAGAGCGGCGACGGGCGCGTCGCGTGGGGGATACCGGCGCGCAACGCGCAGCCGGCATACATCATCCAGGCCTTCATCACCAACCTCATGCTCTCCACGCTGCAAGGCCTTCCGCCGCACCAGGTCTCCGCCTACGACGATCTCTCCGTTACCCTCTCCTTCCGCCCGCCCTCCGCCGCGCCTTCCGCGCCCCCCGCGCTCGTGGTTCCGCTGGTGCGCGGCTCCCCGTATTTGACTTTCATATTCCCCCAGGGCGGGCCCCCTGCGACGCCCGTGCTGAAGACGATCCACGCGATTCTGAGCGTAGAGGCGCGCGGCGACAGCAAGTACCGCGTCGCGCTCAACAACGGCCAGGTGAGGTCACCGCCCTTGTTGTGCGCCGCTCTGCGCGTCTCTGCCGCGCCGCCACTGGCGTTTCCCCTCCCCCTCCTCCCCCTCCCCCGGTTGTGACCCCAATCTGGGCGTATCCCATTTCGTTTGTTTTTCGCCCATCCATCGTCCCTGCTGCCCATCCATCCGCTTACTTCCAACAACCATGCAATCCTCTGAACCCAAACCAACCCCGCATTAACCGCATTCCGCCACGTACCGCCCCTCCTCCCCGGCTGGCAGACATGGCTGGTGTACCTATCGTCGCCGCTGGCGCTGCGGCAGGATGGATCGTCGATCGTGGCGGGCGCGCCGTTCACGGGGACCATGCGCATCGCGCTGCTGCCCGGCAACTCCCCGCAGCGCGAGGAGGCGCTGCTGGACGCGCACGTGGCGACGGTGCCGGTGGGCGGGCGCGCGCGGGTGGGCGCGTTCCGCATCAAGCTAAGCTGGCGCACGCAGCAGTGGCGCAAGCTGGCTCCCGGCGGCACCAAAACGCCGCTGCTCATGCTGTCTCTGCCAGGTCAGTTGCGCTTGCCACGTGTACTGCTTCCGTGTGTGCTGCCACCTGCGCCACCTGTGCCATCACAAGCGTCATCATGAACGGACACATCATCACCAAAAAGGCAAGGCCAGAATCCATGACCAAAACTAGGCCTCGCACATCTATGGGATCTGACCATTGTACGAGGAATTAAAAAGGTAACCTGAACCGATAATTTTAGTGAACAGTCGGAACCATTGTCCCCCCCACCCCATCTTCTTTTGAAGCGCCCCAAGAACAGAGCATTCTGCATCATGGTCCTTACTAAGATAGTACCTCCTCCCCCTTCTTCCCCACGAGCAGTGCACCGGCGCCTGCGAGTGTTCGCGCACAACCCAACCCCGGCCACCTCCCTCCGCCGCCACCGCAGCGTCTCCCCTTCCAACGACGGCACGGCCGCCATCCGCGTCTCCCCTGACCCCGCGCCTGCCGGCCTATCCTCTACCCGCGCCGACGGCGGGTGGGGCGAGTCAGAGTGGGACTCAAGCAGCAGCAGCAGCGGCAGCAGCGACGGCGAGACGGGGAGCCTCCCAACCGCACAGGGCAATGCAGCATCAACAGCAGCAGGCGATCCCGCAGCGTCAAACCAGGCAGCCATGGCCTGGACATCAGCGTCATCATCGTCCGCAGCACGAGCGGCGCAGGAGACGGTACTCTCATACCCCACCATAGACGGGCGAGCAGTAGGCGTGAAAGGCGCGGTTTGGGAGCTCAAAGTGCCGAAGACGCCCACCACGTGGCACTCTCCGCGCCTCTCGTCCGACTCGCAGTTGATGGACGATCTACGGGCGAGTCTGAAGCAGGACGTCGCGGCGCTCCCGCCGCTCACCACGGCCTCGACGTACTTCTTCGGCAAGGCCGCGGCGCGCGCGGCGCGCCTCGCGCTGATCGCGGAGCAGGTGCACGACGACGGCAGCCTCGCCGCGGCCCTGCCGCCGCTGCGCGCCGCGCTGACCGCCTGGCTGGACGGAACCTTCCCCGGAAACCGCCTTCTGTACGACCCCACGTGGGGTGGCGTGGTGAGCGAAGCCGGGTCGCGCGACAAGGGCGCGGATTTCGGCCTGGGGATGTACAACGACCATCACTTCCACTACGGTTACTTCGTCTACGCTGCTGCGACCGTCGCGAAATTCGACCCGATGTGGGGTAACCGTTACCGCGCGCAGCTCGCGGCGCTCGTCGCGGACTACATGTCGGTGAACCGAACCGCGGCGTTCCCAAGGTTGAGGCATTTCGACGCGTACGCGCTGCACTCGTGGGCCAGCGGGCTGTTCGACTTCGGCGACGGGCGCAACCAGGAGAGCTTCAGCGAGGCCGCGAACGCCTACTATGCCGCGTCGCTCCTCGCGTTCACCTTCGGCGACCTCCCATTGGCCACGCTCGGCGCCACGCTGGCAGCAGTCGAGTCCGTTGCGGCGCAGGTGCTGATGCAGGTGCCGGTGGCGGGAAGCTCCTCGTCCCCCCCGCCGTCGCTGTCGCCCGCGTACGAGCCGGTATTCGCGGACGCGAATCGCATGCTAGGCATGGTGTGGTCGACGAAGCGCGACGCGGGGCTGTGGTTCGCGGCTCCTGCTGAGCTGGACAAGCGTGTGGGAATCCAGGTGCTGCCGGTGACGCCCTTCCTCGCGCACCTCTTCCCCGACCGCGCGTACGCGCGCCAGCTCGTGGAATGGGCGCAGCCCGTGCTGAGCGGGAGTGGAGTGACGGACGAGTGGCGGGGCTTCGCGTGGGCGCTGCAGGCGCTGTATGATCCCCCGGGGGCGCGGGGTAGAATCGGCGCGCTGGGTGCTTTTGATGACGGCAACTCGAAGACTAACATGCTCTGGTGGCTCGCCTCCAACACGCCATAGCTTGTGCTTTAGGCGACTCAAAAGTGGAATCGGCACGCTGAGCGCTCAAAAGACGAACATGCTCTGGTGGCTCGCTTCTAATACGCCATAGCTTGACTGAGCAGACTGACTGGAATACTTGTTTTACTCGTACCGTAGATTGATGGTCGTGCACAGGTCTGGGATGGGATGGTATGGGATGGTCCACGCACAGCCTTACACATGTACCTATGTAGTGCTATTTGTACGTCTGCTGTTGCTTTGCCTTGAATTGAAATGCTCCTTGACTTCCTTCCCTTTCCTTGCCTTTTCTTCCACATGCTGTTGTCATCTCTTGAAGCAGCCACTAGTGTTTGGATCATATGATAGCAGTAACCATACTAATGGAGCAGTACTCACGCTAAGGCTTGCTCAGTGTGTAAAAGAATCCAATCCTTTTAGGAGTAATTTGAACATCGGATCGGCTCTAATCAAGTATACGAGTTTCTTCGAATTTCGTTGGTTGGGAGGGGGAATGGAGAAAGTCGGCTGTTGGTAAAAGATACAGTGGTCAACAACTTTGAAAGGGCGTTGACTGGAAATTTTAATGTGTTTGACTCAGTCGCTGGTTCATTGCAATGGAAGATTGCCATCGCGTCGCGTGAACTTGCTGTATCCACAGAGCATAACATTCGCGTCGCGGCGCGAGACGAAACTACAAAAAGGTTCAGTATCTCACATTGGCAACTCATCCACTCTTCACCCATCACTCCGAAAATCCAACTTCGAGCTTTCCGATTTTGAAGCTGCTTCCAATTCTTTACTTTCCAAGCTGCTGGGAAGCTAACAACAATTCTACGTGGAAATATTAGCAGCATCGTAGGCAGAACTAGCACAATGACACAGAGGGTCTCACTTTGGTTGAGCAAGCGCCGCCGTCTTGACCTGAGCACGGCTCTTCTCTTCTCGCTCGTCCTTATTTCATCTCTCCACGCGGCGATGGCCTTTCGCTTCTCCGCGGGGCTCCGCGCGGACAAGCTGCGCAATATGATGCGTGGATCAGCGCAAGGCTGGCGGTCGACCAGCCAGCACCAGCAGCAGCAACAGAGTGGCGGAGGAATGGGCGGCGGAGGAATGGGTGGCGGAGGAATGGGCAGCGGCGGAATGGGCGGCGGCGGAATGGGCGGCGGCGGAATGGGTGGCGGAGGGATGGGCGGTGGAGGAATGGGTGGCGGGGGAATGGGCGGCGGCGGGATGGGTGGCGGAGGGATGGGCGGCCGAGGGATGGGCGGCGGTGGAATGGGCGGCGGCGGAATGGGTGGCGGAGGGATGAGCGGCGATGGAATGGGCAGCGGCGGAATGGGCGGCGGCGGAATGGGTGGCGGAGGGATGGGCGGCGGTGGAATGGGTGGCGGAGGGATGGGCGGCGGTGGAATGGGTAACGGCGGACAGGGCGGCGAAGGAATGGGTGGCGGAGGAACCGGAGGCGGAATGGGAGGGGGCATGGGCGGACCTGGTTCCTCTGCTCCCATATCACAATCAGCCATGGGTCCTGGGGGGGGCATGGGCGGAAGCATGGGTGGCGGCATAGGCGGTGGAGGAATGGGCGGCGGAGGTATGGGCGGCGGCGGAATGGGCGGCGGAGGAATGGTCGGCGCAGGAATGGGCGGCGGAGGAATGGGAGGGGGAGGCATGGGCGGCGGCGGAATGGGCGGCAGCGGCATGGGTGGCGGCGGAATGGGTGGCGGCAGCATGGGTGGCGGCGGAATGGGCGGTGGTGGAATGGGCGGCGGAGAAATGGGAGGGGGAGGCGTGGGTGGCGGCGGAATGGTCGGTGCTGGAATGGGCGGCGGCGGAATGGGCAGCGGCGGCATGAGTGGTGGCGGAATGGGCGGGGGCGGAATGGGCGGCGGCGGCATGGGCGGAGGCGGAACGGGCGGGGGCATGGGCGGACCTGGTTCCTCTGCTCCCGGATCGCAATCAGCCATGGGTCCTGGGGGGAACATGGGCAGCGGAGGAATGAGGGGCGGCGGAATGGGCGGCAGAGGCATGGGCGGCGGAGGTATGGGCGGCGGCGGAATGGGCGGCGGAGGTACGGGCGGCGGAGGTACGGGCGGGTCAGGGTGGTTTGCTCCAGGGTCGCAGGCAGCACCCGGCCAGGGTGGACCTGGGATGGGCGGAGGGATGGGCGGGGGGATGGGCGGAGGGATGGGGGGAGGGATGAGCGGAGGGATGGGCGGAGGGATGGGCAGAGGGATGGGCGGAGTGACGGGTGGAGGGATGGGGGGAGGGATGGGAGGAGGGATGGGCGGAGGGATGGGCGGAGGGATGGGCGGAGGGATGGGCGGAGGGATGGGCGGAGGGATGGGCGGGCCTGGGGGCAGCATGGAAGGTGGTATGGGTGGTCTACAGTAGTCTCTCCTGCTCTGAGCAGGGGCAGTTATGAGCCTGGCCGCACCCCAGATGGCATTCTCAGAGGCGCATGGCCGCAGCAGCACTTCTAACGGAGCACCGCCAGCAGTGCTGCTTCGTCCAAGCTCCTCCTGTCAGCTTTTACCTGTTCACAACACAAATATGGTACCGGTACTCGGGGGGGGGGGGAAGCATGCTCAGTCAACTTCCCTTGTCATGGGAATGGAGTGTAGTACACTACGTATGCAATCTCTGTGCAGAATTCCTCTCTTGCTAGACCTGTGTCTTGTTGGTGAGACGATTGTCAACCGTCCACAGGGATACTCTAGAGGTGTGCAAGACCTCATGGCGCTAACAGTGGTTCCCCTGGTGCACGAGGTGATTAGGCTGTGCGCCTGTTGTTATTGGTGCTGGTGGTGGTGGTGGTGCTGCTGCTGTTACTGCTGTTGCTGGTGCTGCTGTGTTGCTGACAATGTGGTTGGTCCAAGGGAGGTGCGGTGTGGCATGGCAACACACGATGCTGTGCTGTGCTCACAACAAGACCAACAAGAGATGAGAAACGTGGGAGTGGAGAGTGGCTGTCAGCTTCCAGCCCTGCGAGCCAGCAGCATGGAAGTGCCAGCAAAAGAGGCTGCCCCCACTGCCACCGCCACAACAGCTGAACTTTGGAGCCGGCTCAAAGAGTCACTTCGTGTTGAATCAGCTCAAAGGTAGGAGTGGTGGTTAGCTGGCAGCCCTGCGAGCCAGCAGCATGGAAGTGCCAGCAAAAGAGGCTGTCCCTACCGCCACTGCCACAAGAGCTGAACCCACCCACTGGCTCATTGCTGTGCTGCTGCTGCTGCTGGCACTGCTGCTGCTGTTGCTGGTGGTGCTGTTGTAGCTAGTGTTGCTGCTGGTGCTGCTGAGGTTGGCAAACGAGAAGGCTGCAGGCCAGTATGAGGTGTGCGGTGGTGTTGACACTTGCTGCTGTGCCTCTTGCAGCAGCGTGCAGAGCGACTGAATCTGCACAGGCGAGATGAGCCACAGGAAAGCATGGGAGACGAAAGAAAAGGGAAACCAAGGGGAGGGTTGAGGCAAGACAAGAATGTTCTGATTCTACCCACCCTGCCACTGCCCCTCACCTAGTTTTGAGTCGACTCAAAACTATTCTACCCACCCTGCCACCGCCCCTCACCTGGCGAGTCATGTGTCGCTGTTGCTCCGCCTCCACTCACATCCCTCTGCAGCAGATGAGTGTCTGGTGGGGTTGATCACAACAGGAATGTTCTCAATCTACAGGAGATGCACTCACGTCCCTCTGCAGGAGATGAGTGTCTCAACAGCCCTCACCTGGCGAGTCATGTGCCGCTGTTGCTCCACCACCACACTCACATCCCTCTGTAGCCCGCTCCCTCCGCCCCCACCCTCCCTCACACTCTTGTCGCCATCCTGCCCCAGCGGAACAAACACTCTGCCATTCTGCACCACGCTACCACCACTGGAGCCCTGCTGTCCTTGTGGACCGCCCTCAGCCGTGCGCCCGCCTTGCCCCTCTGCTCGACTGGCAAGGCTGGAGGCGGGTGGTTTGCTGCTGCCACTGCTGCGTGCCTGCCCGGCCTGCTCCAAGCGCTGCAGCAGCCAGTCCATCTGCTGTGCGATGCCTGCCAGCTTGCCCTCCACGTCCTTGTTGCTCTGCAGCTGCACGGTTGAAATCCACAGCACAGGGGGGGAACGAAATGACTTGCGAGTCGACTCAACAGCAGCCGGTCCATCTGCTGTGCGATGCTCGCCAGCTTGCCCTCCACGTCCTCGTTGCTCTGCAGCTGCACACCAAAGGATAGGGCGGATGGACAGGAGGACGAGGCGGTGAGGGTTGGGGTGGGCTTTGAAAGGAGATGGGCAAGAAGAGGGGAGAAGAGTGGGAGATCAGTATGTGGGATACAGCAGTGTGCTCCTTGCTATGTTGCAATGAGGCAATGCTGCTATGCTGCAACCACAGTACCATTTTCGCCACCGCCGATGCCGACAGCACCACTGGCGCCTGCTGCTGCTGCTGCTGCTGCCCCTCCTGCTGCTCGTCAGCACCCCTCCCTTGACGAGTGCGAGACGTTCCCCTCCCACCACCACCACGCCCTGCAGGGCTTGCTTCCACCGCCCGCCGCCCCTGCTCAGCCTCGCCCTCCCCCCCTTCCCCAGGGCTCCCTCTAGCATCCAGCTTGAGCAGCTCCAGGGCAGTGGCGGAGCAGGCAGAGCGCATGGTGCTGATCTCCGCCTTGGCTAAAGCGGCTGTGGGGGCTGGCATGCTGTGAGTGCGTGTGGAGGGGGACGGGACGGTACATGAGAAATAAAGGTGAGACGAAGAGAAACTGCGATGACGGGAGAAGAGAGCGGCGGGGAGGAGGGGGGTGACTTTTGAGAATTCTCAAAAGTCGCACTCATATGGCTCAGCGAACATGGAAAAGATGAATCGTGCTGCAGGCAAAGAACTAGGCTAGAACAAGATTCGTGTGTGAAGTAAGACGTTTCATGTTGGATCAAACACACCCAGGAGGAGCAGGCATGGCAATGTGACTGAGAACGTGTAAGAGGCGTAAAAGCAACACACCCAATCGGTCACAGCAACGAAAAGCCAGCAACAACACCCAGCAACGGTGGTGGTAAGGCACACCTTTTTTTGAGGTTGATTTTGAGAATTCTCAAATTCACCCAATCGGTCACAGCAACGAAAAGCCAGCAACAACACCCAGCAGCGGTGGTGGTAAGGCACACACCTGTCAGGAGACGGGTCTCCCTGTCCCATGGACGCTAGGCTCTTGCTGTGAGCAGCGAGGGCAGGAAGGGCAGTGAAGGTAGGGAAGGTTGAGAGGGAGCGGAGTGTAGGGAGGGTAAAGAGGGTGGGAAGGGTAGGGAGGGTAAAAATAGTAGAGAGGGTAGGGAAGGCAGGGAGACAGGATGGTAGATGTCAGCACCTGCAAATGGTATAGATAGGATGGAAAGCGGCAATGCAAAATGCAGATGGAGCGGAGACAAGAGGAGGAGCAGCGACAGCCCAGAGTGGACGCAGGTGGGGAATGGGGTGTGGTGGAGAAGAGAGAGGGTGGAGGGGAACAAGACGGACGACAAAACAGACAACGAATGCACCCCTGACTCCCATAACCGCCCTCATTGTCCCCCACTTACCGGGCTTGACTTGTCTCAAGCTTACGTTTGAGATTTCAACCCCTCACCTCCATCCCTGCCCGACCCCCCTCCCTGCCCCTCACCCTCCCCCCTCCCCTTTTCTGTGTCTCACGTCTTGTTGAGCTTGTGGCCGCCTGCAGAGCAGGAGAAGGAGGAGCGAGCGACCCTTTGGAGCCTTACCTACCCCCTCACTGCCCCCCCTCCCCCCCTCCCTCCCTCCCTCCCCTGCGCGTATCTCACGTCTTGTCGAGCTTGTGGCCACCGGCCGACCAGGAGGAGGAGGAGCGAGCGACCCTTTGGAGCCCTACCTGACCCCCTCACTTCCCTACTTCCCTCCCTCCTTCCCTCCCTCCCTCACCCCTCTCCCTCCCCTGCGCGCATCTCACGTCTTGTCGAGCTTGTGGCCGCCAGCCGACCAGGAGGAGGAGGCAGCAGCAGCAGAGGAGGAGGAGGAGGTGGGCGAGGCAAAGCGCGGGCCCACGGGCGGGCTGAAGGGCAGAATGTCGTCTGATATGCGCAGACGAGCCTTGAGCGCGTTGGAGGAGAGGGGGGACGGCTGAGGGGATGGGAGGCAGGTGTGAGAGGGTGGTCGGGAGGAAGGGGTGAGTGGGGGGAGAGGAGTTGGAAACACACAGTGGGCTGTGAATGCACACATTGCTGCACACCCATGCTGCACACCCATGCTGCACACCCATGCTGCACACCCATGCTGCACACCCATGCTGCACACCCATGCTGCACACCCATGCTGCACACCCATGCTGCACACCCATGCTGCACACCCATGCTGCACACCCATGCTGCACACCCATGCTGCACACCCATGCTGCACACCCATGCTGCACACCCATGCTGCACACCCATGCTGCACACCCATGCTGCACACCCATGCTGCACACCCATGCTGCACACCCATGCTGCACACCCATGCTGCACACCCATGCTGCAAAGGGAGCCTTGAGGAGCGGGAGGAGTAGGGGGAGAGCCTTGAGGAGCGGGAGGAGTAGGGGGAGAGCCTTGAGGAGCGGGAGGAGTAGGGGGAGAGCCTTGAGGAGCGGGAGGAGTAGGGGGAGAGCCTTGAGGAGCGGGAGGAGTAGGGGGAGAGCCTTGAGGAGCGGGAGGAGTAGGGGGAGAGCCTTGAGGAGCGGGAGGAGTAGGGGGAGAGCCTTGAGGAGCGGGAGGAGTAGGGGGAGAGCCTTGAGGAGCGGGAGGAGTAGGGGGAGAGCCTTGAGGAGCGGGAGGAGTAGGGGGAGAGCCTTGAGGAGCGGGAGGAGTAGGGGGAGAGCCTTGAGGAGCGGGAGGAGTAGGGGGAGAGCCTTGAGGAGCGGGAGGAGTAGGGGGAGAGCCTTGAGGAGCGGGAGGAGTAGGGGGAGAGCCTTGAGGAGCGGGAGGAGTAGGGGGAGAGCCTTGAGGAGCGGGAGGAGTAGGGGGAGAGCCTTGAGGAGCGGGAGGAGTAGGGGGAGAGCCTTGAGGAGCGGGAGGAGTAGGGGGAGAGCCTTGAGGAGCGGGAGGAATAGAAGGAGAGCCTTGAGGAGCGGGAGGAGTAGGGGGAGAGCCTTGAGGAGCGGGAGGAGTAGGGGGAGAGCCTTGAGGAGCGGGAGGAGTAGGGGGAGAGCCTTGAGGAGCGGGAGGAGTAGGGGGAGAGCCTTGAGGAGCGGGAGGAGAAGGGGGAGAGCCTTGAGGAGCGGGAGGAGTAGGGGGACGGGTTGACAAGGAGTGTGGGGGATGGGAGACGGGAGAGGGAAGGTGGGTCGTGGTGATGCAAGAATGGACGTTGGGAAGGAAGAAGGGCGGCCAAAGAAACCCAAGCGTGGATGAAAAAGTGAGTGATAAGCACGCATGGTTGTGTGCATGTCGATTAGTGCACCTGTGACTACCTGGTTGCTTTGAATCTCCTGAGTGAGGTGGTGCAGCTTGATATCCTCGATGTACGGATGGCAGATAGCTAATAGCTTTGCTACTACTACTACTTACCTGGTTGCTCTGAATCTCCTGCGTGAGGTGGTGCAGCTTGATATCCTCGATATAAGGATGGGAGATGTACCCCCCCTCCCCCTCCATGCCCAGCTGCTCCGCCACCTCCTTCACGCGCTTGCGGTCCTTGCCTATCACCTGCACAGGGAAGGCCAGGGACAGAGCACACAAGCACAGAGTGAACCTCTTTGACTCGCCACCTCCTTCACGCGCTTGCGGTCCTTGCCTATCACCTGCACGCAAAGGCACACAACAGACAAGTACAGCATGTGGCTCTTTGGCATCTTCATGCGCTTGCGGTCCTTGCCTATCACCTGCATGCAACGGCACAGAACAGCAAGAGACCAGCAGACACAACAGACAAGCACACCATGCGGCTCTTTAGCATGCCACTTTCACGTGCTTGCGGTCCTTGCCTATCACCTGCACAGGTACAGAACATGAAGCTGGTTTGAACTCCCAGTCACTTCGGACCTCCTCTTGGCTTCAACCATGCTTCACCCCGGCCATGGTTAGATCACTCCGGTTTGAACCATTCGCCCGTGATTTAACAAGCTTCACCCCGGCCACGGTTAGATCACTCCGGTTTGAACCATTCGCCCGTGATTTAACAAGCTTCACCACCCCGGCCACGGTTAGATCACTCCGGTTTGAACCATTCGCCCGTGATTTAACAAGCTTCACCCCGGCCATGGTTAGATCACTCCGGTTTGAACCATTCGCCCGTGATTTAACAAGCTTCACCCCGGCCACGGTTAGATCACTCCGGTTTGAACCATTCGCCCGTGATTTAACAAGCTTCACCCCGGCCACGGTTAGATCACTCCGGTTTGAACCATTCGCCCGTGATTTAACAAGCTTCACCCCGGCCACGGTTAGATCACTCCGGCTTGAACCATTCGCCCGTGATTTAACAAGCTTCACCCCGGCCACGGTTAGATCACTCCGGTTTGAACCATTCGCCCGTGATTTAACAAGCTTCACCCCGGCCATGGTTAGATCACTCCGGCTTGAACCATTCGCCCGTGATTTAACAAGCTTCACCCCGGCCATGGTTAGATCACTCCGGTTTGAACCATTCGCCCGTGATTTCACAAGCTTCACCCCGGCCATGGTTAGATCACTCCGGTTTGAACCATTCGCCCGTGATTTAACAAGCTTCACCCCGGCCATGGTTAGATCACTCCGGTTTGAACCATTCGCCCGTGATTTAACAAGCTTCACCCCGGCCATGGTTAGATCACTCCGGTTTGAACCATTCGCCCGTGATTTAACAAGCTTCACCCCGGCCATGGTTAGATCACTCCGGTTTGAACCATTCGCCCGTGATTTCACAAGCTTCACCCCGGCCATGGTTAGATCACTCCGGTTTGAACCATTCGCCCGTGATTTAACAAGCTTCACCCCGGCCATGGTTAGATCACTCCGGTTTGAACCATTCGCCCGTGATTTAACAAGCTTCACCACCCCGGCCATGGTTAGATCACTCCGGTTTGAACCATTCGCCCGTGATTTCACAAGCTTCACCCCGGCCATGGTTAGATCACTCCGGTTTGAACCATTCGCCCGTGATTTCACAAGCTTCACCCCGGCCATGGTTAGATCACTCCGGTTTGAACCATTCGCCCGTGATTTCACAAGCTTCACCCCGGCCATGGTTAGATCACTCCGGTTTGAACCATTTGCCCGTGATTTAACAAGCTTCACCCCGGCCATGGTTAGATCACTCCGGTTTGAACCATTCGCCCGTGATTTCACAAGCTTCACCCCGGCCATGGTTAGATCACTCCGGTTTGAACCATTCGCCCGTGATTTAACAAGCTTCACCACCCCGGCCATGGTTAGATCACTCCGGTTTGAACCATTCGCCCGTGATTTAACAAGCTTCACCACCCCGGCCATGGTTAGATCACTCCGGTTTGAACCATTCGCCCGTGATTTAAAAAGCTTCACCACCCCGGCCATGGTTAGATCACTCCGGTTTGAACCATTCGCCCGTGATTTCACAAGCTTCACCCCGGCCATGGTTAGATCACTCCGGTTTGAACCATTCGCCCGTGATTTAACAAGCTTCACCCCGGCCATGGTTAGATCACTCCGGCTTGAACCATTCGCCCGTGATTTCACAAGCTTCACCCCGGCCATGGTTAGATCACTCCGGTTTGAACCATTCGCCCGTGATTTAACAAGCTTCACCCCGGCCATGGTTAGATCACTCCGGTTTGAACCATTCGCCCGTGATTTAACAAGCTTCACCCCGGCCATGGTTAGATCACTCCGGTTTGAACCATTCGCCCGTGATTTAACAAGCTTCACCACCCCGGCCATGGTTAGATCACTCCGGTTTGAACCATTCGCCCGTGATTTAACAAGCTTCACCCCGGCCATGGTTAGATCACTCCGGTTTGAACCATTCGCCCGTGATTTCACAAGCTTCACCCCGGCCATGGTTAGATCACTCCGGTTTGAACCATTCGCCCGTGATTTAACAAGCTTCACCCCGGCCATGGTTAGATCACTCCGGTTTGAACCATTCGCCCGTGATTTAACAAGCTTCACCCCGGCCATGGTTAGATCACTCCGGTTTGAACCATTCGCCCGTGATTTAACAAGCTTCACCCCGGCCATGGTTAGATCACTCCGGTTTGAACCATTCGCCCGTGATTTAACAAGCTTCACCCCGGCCATGGTTAGATCACTCCGGTTTGAACCATTCGCCCGTGATTTAACAAGCTTCACCACCCCGGCCATGGTTAGATCACTCCGGTTTGAACCATTCGCCCGTGATTTAACAAGCTTCACCCCGGCCATGGTTAGATCACTCCGGTTTGAACCATTCGCCCGTGATTTCACAAGCTTCACCCCGGCCATGGTTAGATCACTCCGGTTTGAACCATTCGCCCGTGATTTCACAAGCTTCACCCCGGCCATGGTTAGATCACTCCGGTTTGAACCATTCGCCCGTGATTTAACAAGCTTCACCACCCCGGCCATGGTTAGATCACTCCGGTTTGAACCATTCGCCCGTGATTTAACAAGCTTCACCACCCCGGCCATGGTTAGATCACTCCGGTTTGAACCATTCGCCCGTGATTTAACAAGCTTCACCACCCCGGCCATGGTTAGATCACTCCGGTTTGAACCATTCGCCCGTGATTTCACAAGCTTCACCCCGGCCATGGTTAGATCACTCCGGTTTGAACCATTCGCCCGTGATTTAACAAGCTTCACCCCGGCCATGGTTAGATCACTCCGGTTTGAACCATTCGCCCGTGATTTAACAAGCTTCACCCCGGCCATGGTTAGATCACTCCGGTTTGAACCATTCGCCCGTGATTTAACAAGCTTCACCCCGGCCATGGTTAGATCACTCCGGTTTGAACCATTCGCCCGTGATTTCACAAGCTTCACCCCGGCCATGGTTAGATCACTCCGGTTTGAACCATTCGCCCGTGATTTAACAAGCTTCACCCCGGCCATGGTTAGATCACTCCGGTTTGAACCATTCGCCCGTGATTTAACAAGCTTCACCACCCCGGCCATGGTTAGATCACTCCGGTTTGAACCATTCGCCCGTGATTTAACAAGCTTCACCACCCCGGCCATGGTTAGATCACTCCGGTTTGAACCATTCGCCCGTGATTTAACAAGCTTCACCACCCCGGCCATGGTTAGATCACTCCGGTTTGAACCATTCGCCCGTGATTTCACAAGCTTCACCCCGGCCATGGTTAGATCACTCCGGTTTGAACCATTCGCCCGTGATTTAACAAGCTTCACCCCGGCCATGGTTAGATCACTCCGGTTTGAACCATTCGCCCGTGATTTAACAAGCTTCACCCCGGCCATGGTTAGATCACTCCGGTTTGAACCATTCGCCCGTGATTTAACAAGCTTCACCCCGGCCATGGTTAGATCACTCCGGTTTGAACCATTCGCCCGTGATTTCACAAGCTTCACCCCGGCCATGGTTAGATCACTCCGGTTTGAACCATTCGCCCGTGATTTAACAAGCTTCACCCCGGCCATGGTTAGATCACTCCGGTTTGAACCATTCGCCCGTGATTTAACAAGCTTCACCACCCCGGCCATGGTTAGATCACTCCGGTTTGAACCATTCGCCCGTGATTTCACAAGCTTCACCCCGGCCATGGTTAGATCACTCCGGTTTGAACCATTCGCCCGTGATTTCACAAGCTTCACCCCGGCCATGGTTAGATCACTCCGGTTTGAACCATTCGCCCGTGATTTCACAAGCTTCACCCCGGCCATGGTTAGATCACTCCGGTTTGAACCATTTGCCCGTGATTTAACAAGCTTCACCCCGGCCATGGTTAGATCACTCCGGTTTGAACCATTCGCCCGTGATTTCACAAGCTTCACCCCGGCCATGGTTAGATCACTCCGGTTTGAACCATTCGCCCGTGATTTAACAAGCTTCACCACCCCGGCCATGGTTAGATCACTCCGGTTTGAACCATTCGCCCGTGATTTAACAAGCTTCACCACCCCGGCCATGGTTAGATCACTCCGGTTTGAACCATTCGCCCGTGATTTAACAAGCTTCACCACCCCGGCCATGGTTAGATCACTCCGGTTTGAACCATTCGCCCGTGATTTCACAAGCTTCACCCCGGCCATGGTTAGATCACTCCGGTTTGAACCATTCGCCCGTGATTTAACAAGCTTCACCACCCCGGCCATGGTTAGATCACTCCGGTTTGAACCATTCGCCCGTGATTTAACAAGCTTCACCCCGGCCATGGTTAGATCACTCCGGTTTGAACCATTCGCCCGTGATTTCACAAGCTTCACCCCGGCCATGGTTAGATCACTCCGGTTTGAACCATTCGCCCGTGATTTCACAAGCTTCACCCCGGCCATGGTTAGATCACTCCGGTTTGAACCATTCGCCCGTGATTTAACAAGCTTCACCCCGGCCATGGTTAGATCACTCCGGTTTGAACCATTCGCCCGTGATTTAACAAGCTTCACCACCCCGGCCATGGTTAGATCACTCCGGTTTGAACCATTCGCCCGTGATTTAACAAGCTTCACCACCCCGGCCATGGTTAGATCACTCCGGTTTGAACCATTCGCCCGTGATTTAACAAGCTTCACCACCCCGGCCATGGTTAGATCACTCCGGTTTGAACCATTCGCCCGTGATTTAACAAGCTTCACCCCGGCCATGGTTAGATCACTCCGGTTTGAACCATTCGCCCGTGATTTAACAAGCTTCACCCCGGCCATGGTTAGATCACTCCGGTTTGAACCATTCGCCCGTGATTTCACAAGCTTCACCCCGGCCATGGTTAGATCACTCCGGTTTGAACCATTCGCCCGTGATTTCACAAGCTTCACCCCGGCCATGGTTAGATCACTCCGGTTTGAACCATTCGCCCGTGATTTAACAAGCTTCACCCCGGCCATGGTTAGATCACTCCGGTTTGAACCATTCGCCCGTGATTTCACAAGCTTCACCCCGGCCATGGTTAGATCACTCCGGTTTGAACCATTCGCCCGTGATTTCACAAGCTTCACCCCGGCCATGGTTAGATCACTCCGGTTTGAACCATTCGCCCGTGATTTAACAAGCTTCACCCCGGCCATGGTTAGATCACTCCGGTTTGAACCATTCGCCCGTGATTTCACAAGCTTCACCCCGGCCATGGTTAGATCACTCCGGTTTGAACCATTCGCACGTGATTTAACAAGCTTCACCCCGGCCATGGTTAGATCACTCCGGTTTGAACCATTCGCCCGTGATTTCACAAGCTTCACCCCGGCCATGGTTAGATCACTCCGGTTTGAACCATTCGCCCGTGATTTCACAAGCTTCACCCCGGCCATGGTTAGATCACTCCGGTTTGAACCATTCGCCCGTGATTTCACAAGCTTCACCCCGGCCATGGTTAGATCACTCCGGTTTGAACCATTCGCCCGTGATTTCACAAGCTTCACCCCGGCCATGGTTAGATCACTCCGGTTTGAACCATTCGCCCGTGATTTCACAAGCTTCACCCCGGCCATGGTTAGATCACTCCGGCTTGAACCATTCGCCCGTGATTTCACAAGCTTCACCCCGGCCATGGTTAGATCACTCCGGTTTGAACCATTCGCCCGTGATTTCACAAGCTTCACCCCGGCCATGGTTAGATCACTCCGGTTTGAACCATTCGCCCGTGATTTAACAAGCTTCACCCCGGCCATGGTTAGATCACTCCGGTTTGAACCATTCGCCCGTGATTTAACAAGCTTCACCCCGGCCATGGTTAGATCACTCCGGCTTGAACCATTCGCCCGTGATTTATCAAGCTTCACCCCGGCCATGGTTAGATCACTCCGGTTTGAACCATTCGCCCTTGATTTAACAAGCTTCACCCCGGCCATGGTTAGATCACTCCGGTTTGAACCATTCGCCCGTGATTTAACAAGCTTCACCTCGGCCATGGTTAGATCACTCCGGTTTGAACCATTCGCCCGTGATTTAACAAGCTTCACCACCCCGGCCATGGTTAGATCACTCCGGTTTGAACCATTCGCCCGTGATTTAACAAGCTTCACCCCGGCCATGGTTAGATCACTCCGGTTTGAACCATTCGCCCGTGATTTCACAAGCTTCACCCCGGCCATAGTTAGATCACTCCGATTTGAACCATTCGCCCGTGATTTCACAAGCTTCACCCCGGCCATGGTTAGATCACTCCGGTTTGAACCATTCGCCCGTGATTTCACAAGCTTCACCCCGGCCATGGTTAGATCACTCCGGCTTGAACCATTCGCCCGTGATTTAACAAGCTTCACCACCCCGGCCATGGTTAGATCACTCCGGTTTGAACCATTCGCCCGTGATTTAACAAGCTTCACCCCGGCCATGGTTAGATCACTCCGGTTTGAACCATTCGCCCGTGATTTAACAAGCTTCACCCCGGCCATGGTTAGATCACTCCGGCTTGAACCATTCGCCCGTGATTTAACAAGCTTCACCCCGGCCATGGTTAGATCACTCCGGTTTGAACCATTCGCCCGTGATTTAACAAGCTTCACCCCGGCCACGGTTAGATCACTCCGGTTTGAACCATTCGCCCGTGATTTAACAAGCTTCACCCCGGCCATGGTTAGATCACTCCGGTTTGAACCATTCGCCCGTGATTTAACAAGCTTCACCCCGGCCACGGTTAGATCACTCCGGTTTGAACCATTCGCCCGTGATTTAACAAGCTTCACCCCGGCCATGGTTAGATCACTCCGGTTTGAACCATTCGCCCGTGATTTCACAAGCTTCACCCCGGCCATGGTTAGATCACTCCGGTTTGAACCATTCGCCCGTGATTTAACAAGCTTCACCCCGGCCATGGTTAGATCACTCCGGTTTGAACCATTCGCCCGTGATTTCACAAGCTTCACCACCCCGGCCATGGTTAGATCACTCCGGTTTGAACCATTCGCCCGTGATTTCACAAGCTTCACCCCGGCCATGGTTAGATCACTCCGGTTTGAACCATTCGCCCGTGATTTCACAAGCTTCACCCCGGCCATGGTTAGATCACTCCGGTTTGAACCATTCGCCCGTGATTTAACAAGCTTCACCCCGGCCATGGTTAGATCACTCCGGTTTGAACCATTCGCCCGTGATTTCACAAGCTTCACCCCGGCCATGGTTAGATCACTCCGGTTTGAACCATTCGCCCGTGATTTAACAAGCTTCACCCCGGCCATGGTTAGATCACTCCGGTTTGAACCATTCGCCCGTGATTTCACAAGCTTCACCCCGGCCATGGTTAGATCACTCCGGTTTGAACCATTCGCCCGTGATTTCACAAGCTTCACCCCGGCCATGGTTAGATCACTCCGGTTTGAACCATTCGCCCGTGATTTCACAAGCTTCACCCCGGCCATGGTTAGATCACTCCGGTTTGAACCATTCGCCCGTGATTTCACAAGCTTCACCCCGGCCATGGTTAGATCACTCCGGTTTGAACCATTCGCCCGTGATTTCACAAGCTTCACCCCGGCCATGGTTAGATCACTCCGGCTTGAACCATTCGCCCGTGATTTCACAAGCTTCACCCCGGCCATGGTTAGATCACTCCGGTTTGAACCATTCGCCCGTGATTTCACAAGCTTCACCCCGGCCATGGTTAGATCACTCCGGCTTGAACCATTCGCCCGTGATTTCACAAGCTTCACCCCGGCCATGGTTAGATCACTCCGGCTTGAACCATTCGCCCGTGATTTAACAAGCTTCACCACCCCGGCCATGGTTAGATCACTCCGGTTTGAACCATTCGCCCGTGATTTAACAAGCTTCACCCCGGCCATGGTTAGATCACTCCGGTTTGAACCATTCGCCCGTGATTTAACAAGCTTCACCCCGGCCATGGTTAGATCACTCCGGTTTGAACCATTCGCCCGTGATTTAACAAGCTTCACCCCGGCCATGGTTAGATCACTCCAGCTTGAACCATTCGCCCGTGATTTAACAAGCTTCACCCCGGCCATGGTTAGATCACTCCGGTTTGAACCATTCGCCCGTGATTTAACAAGCTTCACCCCGGCCATGGTTAGATCACTCCGGTTTGAACCATTCGCCCGTGATTTAACAAGCTTCACCTCGGCCATGGTTAGATCACTCCGGTTTGAACCATTCGCCCGTGATTTAACAAGCTTCACCACCCCGGCCATGGTTAGATCACTCCGGTTTGAACCATTCGCCCGTGATTTAACAAGCTTCACCCCGGCCACGGTTAAATCACCCGGGTCTGGGACCGTGAGCAGCATCATTCAGTTTAGACACACTTTGAGGCGCCTCAAAAGGCTTCAACCAAGCTTCACCCTGGCCATGGATAGATCACCCAGGTTTGGGACCGTGAGCAGTATCATTCAGCTTAGACACACTCACTCTCGCCACAGCTCCGGAAATACCTCCCTCCCCTACCCCCTCTCCTCTTCCCTCCTCCCACCTGCACGTAGGTGGCTTTGAGCTGCTCAATCTTGTCAATCTTGACTGAAAGCATGCTGCTGGCCTCTCCCTGTCCCCCCTGTCCCCCCTGCTCGCCCTGCTCTTTGAGCACGACCGACTCGCGGTGAACATGTTTGGAATATGAGGTTTGGGAAGGGAGGATGCGGGCACAAGAATGGGACCGCCAAGCGATAACTGATACCAAAGAATAGTTCTTTCTTCGTGGTTACAAACAACCTTCTTAAAACCGGGGTGCACATTCAGCTGAATGTGCATCAAAGGTTATCCCTTGACTGAGTGGGTTACGAGGTGTGCTTTCAACCCCTTCAAGTCGAAATTCGTTTCCCCCCTCCCCCGCAATTTTGTTTCCCCACGCCCCCGCAATTTCATTTCCCCCTCCCCGTCGAAATTCGTTTCCCCCCTCCCCCGCAATTTTGTTTCCCCCCTCCCCCGCAATTTCGTTTCCCCCCCCTCCCGCCAATCTGTTTCATCCCTCCCGCCATTCGGTTTCACCCACTCCCGCCATTTCACCCCCTCCCGCCACCTACGAAATGCTCGAAGCTCTAGCGGAATCATTTTTTTGTCGCCCCTCGTGAGCCAATCACTGTTTTTCTCCAAACCCCCTTCCCAACATCTCAAGCCGAACCGCGTTGAATGTGCACCCTGGTTTTAATGAGAATGGTGTAACCTCAAAACACATAAGAAAACATGGTCAAGTGTCGAGAGTGGGATTTGAACCCACGCCCTTTCGGACTGGAACCTTAATCCAGCGCCTTAGACCAACTCGGCCATCTCGACACATTCACGACAAACACAATCACATAATAACTTGTTACACACGCAACATGTGTTTTTGTCCTTGCTGCCGCTCAGCATGCCTCATTCCCAACACGCACCTCAAACATGAGCGAGTAGCGCCCATCGCGGTTGCGCATGCGCAGGTATGACTGGCACGTGTCCTTGTCCTCCCCGGGCGGCAGCAGGTAGATCTCGTACGTCTCCACCTCCTCCCGCGTGTGCCCTCCTTCCAGCACCCCCCTCACCCGCTCCTCCCACCCCTCGCCCTCTGCTCGCGACTGCACGCTCCGTTCAGAAGCCAGGGGGGAAGAACAAGAGAGGAACGGGGGGAGTACGGGGGAGGAGGGAAAGAATGGACGGAATAAGCCTTGTGAGAAGGGAATGGGAACAAATAGGACAAGCATGGGTGGAAAAGAGCACAGGTGTGGGCTTGGAGCGGCATCAGGAGGGCTCAGCAATGGTGCAGGCCAGTCCAGCGGCAGTCACACGGATTCCACATCACAGGCTTGCTTCTTCATCAAGTACAATTTTGATAAATGTGAATGATGGGAATGTCCCATCCCATGTATGTGTCTGGCGCACACGAATCATTAGATGTACAAGTGAATAGCTGCAAGGCGGACCAACGGCCCGCAAGGCAGGGCAGGGCAGGGCAGGGCAGAGCGGGGCGGGGCGGGGCGGGGCTGGGGCGGGGCGGGGCAGGGCGGGGCGGGGCGGGGCGGGGCAGGGCAGGGCAGAGCAGGGCAGGGCCGGGCAGGGCAGGGCCGGGCCGGGCAGGGCAGGGCAGGGCAGGGCAGGGCAGGGCAGGGCAGGGCAGGGCAGGGCAGGGCAGGGCCGGGCAGGGCAGGGCCGGGCAGGGCAGGGCAGGGCAGGGCAGGGCAGGGCAGGGCAGGGCAGGGCAGGGCAGGGCAGGGCAGGGCAGGGCAGGGCAGGGCAGGGCAGGGCAGGGCAGGGCAGGGCAGGGCAGGGCAGGGCAGGGCAGGGCAGGGCAGGGCAGGGCAGGGCAGGGCAGGGCAGGGCAGGGCAGGGCAGGGCAGGGCAGGGCAGGGCCGGGCAGGGCAGGGCAGGGCAGGGCAGGGCAGGGCAGGGCAGGGCAGGGCAGGGCAGGGCAGGGCAGGGCAGGGCAGGGCAGGGCAGGGCAGGGCAGGGCAGGGCAGGGCAGGGCAGGGCAGGGCAGGGCAGGGCAGGGCAGGGCAGGGCAGGGCAGGGCAGGGCAGGGCAGGGCAGGGCAGGGCAGGGCAGGGCAGGGCAGGGCAGGGCCGGGCAGGGCAGGGCAGGGCCGGGCCGGGCAGGGCAGGGCAGGGCAGGGCAGGGCAGGGCAGGGCAGGGCAGGGCAGGGCAGGGCAGGGCAGCGCCGGGTGTGGCTTGCAGGGGTGACCTTGAGGAGGTAGGTGGCGTCCTGGAAGCCGGAGAAGGGGTTGAAGTTGTTCACCATGCGGATGTGCGCCGTCTTCAGCTCCGGCTCTATGAACGCCTTGTACATCGGGTACACCTGTGGGGGGAGGGGGGGGCATGGCGTGCAGGGAGTTCAGGGCATGCAGGGCATGCATGCAGGGCGACACATGTGGGAGGCAAGCAGGATGTGCGCCGTCCTGAGCTCTGGCTCTATGAACACCTTGTACATCGGGTACACCTGGGGGAGGCATGTATGCAGGGCGTGCAGGGAGTGCAGGGAGTGCAGGGAGTGCAGGGAGTGCAGGGCAATCAGGGCGTGCAGGGTGGCACATATGAGCGGCAAGCAGGATGTGCGCAGCCTTGAGCTCCGGCTCTATGAACGCCTTGTACATCGGGTACACCTGTGAGCATGCGGGGCGGGCAATCAAGGTAGCGGCATGTGAAAATGACAGAAATACCTTGTGCATTGTGTAACGGGTCAATAACGTGTTGTGCATCAACGAGTTGATGCATTCAGATCGGCAGACGCAATAGGCAAACGAGACTCGAGACGTAGCCCTGGAAGGTTGCCCTTCCCATCCTCCACTTCCCCCCCTCTACCCGCAATCCCGACTGACCGTTTCCGAGATCTGCTGGACGATGCTCTCAGGCGCCTGTCCAGAGCGGTCAATGTCACGCAGCACGCGCTTGACGAGGTCAAAGTGCACGCCGCCCATGATGGCCACCCCCAGGTCCAGCAGCAGTGCCCCTCCGCCCCGCCGATCCACATTCTTTAAGTTTTGCTGAATAATACTCTCAGGCGCGTGGCCACCCTGCCCCACTCTCCCCCTCCCCCGCTACCCTTTGCACCACTGACCCACCGTCTCGGAAATTTGTTGAATGATGCTTTCAGGCGCCTGCCCCGACCGGTCAATGTCGCGCAGCACGCGCTTGACGAGGTCGAAGTGCACGCCACCTGTGATGGCCACGCGCAGGTCCAGCAGCGGCCGCACGCGCTCATTCAGCGCGTGAATGCCCTCCAGGATGATCACACGTGATTTGGGGACCGCTTGCTCCCTGTGGGGACGAACAGGGTGGGATATATGTGAAGGGCACGCCGGAAGGAGGTGAAACGTGTCTGAAGAATGTGTGGACGGCCACGCGCAGGTCGAGCAGCAGTCTCACTCGCTTGTTCAGCGCGTGAATTCCCTCCAGGATGATCACTCTTGACTTGGGGACCGCTTGCTCCCTGCGGGAAACACACGTGGGAGATGACACGAACGTGAAGGAGGGGGTGTGGATGGACAGGCGTGTGACGCGCAGGTCCAGCAGCAACCTCACCTGCTCGTTCAGCGCGTGGATTCCCTCCAAACTGATCACTCGTGACTTTGGGACCGCTTACTCCCTGCGGGACGAGCACGGTGGGATGTCATGGCTATGGCACCAGATTGGCGCGAAGTAAACCGTCCTCTCTCTATCAAAATCAGCCGAGTTTCCACGCGCATAGAGCTTGGCCTGGCACGAGCATGAAACTTGACACCTGTTTTGACACGACTCCCCTCACACTCTCGAAGGAGACGAGAGCAGAGCGCGCGCACCTGAAGCCGACGCGCTGGCTGGACTTGAAGTCGTAGATGGGCACCTGCACCGCCTCGCCTCGCCTCAGCCCCTCGATGTTCTCCAGCAGCAGCTCGTAGTCCGTGATGCGCGGATCTGCAGTGTGGTTCAATGCGGTACGATGGATTTTGACGCATTTCAGTGCATTACATTGCAATTTGTATGCGTTTCACAAATGCTCCTCTTATTGCAGCTAGTCTCGGAAAGAACTGCAGGAAAGCACTCAACGGACGTTCATGTTCTCACGTCAACCCACACAGAATGGATACGCCTGAGAAGCATCGGAGAGGGCAACGAACTGTCGAATATGCCATGATAGCGCGCGGCGAAGCGACGTTGCAATCGCCCATGGAAACGACAACGACATTATGAAACGTCTCGAAAAGTCACGCAAGAGGGGTGACTGACTGACTGACCGTCAAAATTGCCGTCGATGACGCGCGAGGCGACGTTATAGTGGTCCATGGAGAGCACGGCAATGTTTTAACCGTCTAAAAGCTACCTGCGGGGGCTAACTGACCGTCGAAGTTGCCGTCGATGACGCGCGAGGCGACGTTATAGTGGTCCATGGAGAGCACGGCGATGGAGGGCATGAAACCCGCCACCTTGTGCGTGAACGCCGTCTTGCCCGCGCCCGACGGCCCCGCCAGCCCCACCAGAATCACCCCCGCGTTGTTCTGCGCACCGCGGCCGGCCATGAACGAAGGGAACAGCGTCAGACGGCGGAAAATCAGGACGCAGTTGATTTGTCTTTGAAGTTAAATGCAGGAATTTATTTAAATGGACAGTGACGCAGGATGTCAGCGATACATATGCATTGAAGCTTAATGTCTGATTGGAATGGACTGACACATAGTCATTGTCGCTGAATGGTCATGCAGTCAATCGGCAGCCACTGAGCGGCAAAAGCCATTGCAGCGGGATATGAGAGAGCAATACAAGCAGATGCCACATACTACACCAACGTGAGAGTTGCTATTTCACGCAAATAATGTTTAACTATAGATGGTTATGTGAAAGGCAGAAGCAGCAGCCAGCCCCACCTGTGTGAGCAGTTGCACGGCGCGGATGAAGAGGAAGAAGCCTTTCTCGAACGACAGCTGCTCCTCCACTGGAGCTATCTCCTTGCGCGCCTTGCCATCCGGCATCACTCGCCGCACCAGCCGCAACTGATTCTTAAGCAATCCGGGCCGCCTCGAGCTCGGCTTTTCACCATACTCCGTAAAGGAATTTCCCTTGGACGGCATGATTGAAACTTTATTAATAGAACTCTACGCGCGATGTAGAACGGTAAGGGAACAATTGGATGGGAAATGATGTAAAGAGGCGCTAGTTTGTAGCAGCTAGAATCTTTGAGTGAGACTGATTCAGGCGGACATTGGGAATGAATATAGAGATGCTTTCGTTTAGAAACGGATTGCATTAGCGCACTGAACACTGAGGCCCTTTATGAAATGCTCACTCGCTCCATGCGCTAAAGCAAGCCCAACGGAAGAAGGGAAAAAATGCCTGAGGAACGCTCTAGCAGCTAAGTGGGCTGCACGCATAGAAATGCTTTGGCTACTGCATAAGCCAAGAGGGCACTGTATTCCTTTCCGACATGCCTCCATGGCAGCCACAGAGCGCAGAAGAAGGCTGTGAAAGCTGCTTCCAATGGTGCTGCCTTTCCCGCTAGTGGTTTTTTGTGCGAGGAGCTCCTCCTCCCGGCCCGACGGTGGTACATGTTGGCTGTCATACGGGCTTTTTCTGTCAGATTGACTTTCCATTGGCTCCGCCGACAAAGCGGGCAGTGAAGCAGGAGGAGATCCCGTTGTTCGATTGGGTAGTTTGTATGACCTCCTGAAATGGGCAGGTGTGAAAAGCGTTCACAGGCACATTCACTTCGCGTGGCGAGTAAGATATTTGATGTGGTCCAGGGTTATGAGTCCAGGGCGACAATTGCTGACTTGGAATCTTCGGTGTAGAGACACTCGAAACAGTCTAGCAGCACCATTGAAGGTTTCCGAACAAGGCCAGGTCCATTAATCCAGCAAATACAGAAGACATTCCGCCAACCCCAAGCCACAGAGATGACGTATGAACTTTTGGGGTTCGCGAAAACCCACTCTGATCCCAACAAATCATGTCCCGTATCATGTGGCACACGCGGAGCACCCAGCATCTGCATCGTCCCATCCCATGATTCCCAGCCTTCCATTCATCCATCCATACATGGCTCATTGAATCTTACGCACTCCACCCATACCCGCCAGCCAAACCCCCATGACTCTCCAGCATCCACCCACACACCAACCAACCTTCCCACCAGCCTTCCTCCTCAACCACCCCTTCCCTCGCACCCTTCTCCAGAAACTTTCCCAGGCAGACACATAACACAACAAATCCGACCATTTTCATCCAGCATCCAAGTTCCATCTGCTCTTGGTAATCCGCAGCCGAACAGGAAACTATTTGCCCTGGTCGAGTGTAGTGACCTGTCTCTCCTTGTTCCGTATATTATTTTGCGTCGCCTTTTAGACCGTGAACATGTCTGCGGAGGAGGAGAAGATCGAAAATCCCGCTCACCAGGAGGAGGATGACGATGCTCCCAAGGCCGATGACGAGGACACGGGAGCTCACATCGCTCCCATTGTGAAATTGGAGGAGGTTACCGTGTCGACCGGTGAAGAGAATGAGAACGTCCTCTTTGAGATGTAAGCTGTTTACAACACTAGAGGTCCTTACGTCACGGAGCGGTACATGCTCATCTTGAACACTGTGTCGTAGCACGACAGTACCGTTAGTTAGAATACGATACTTCTTGATCGAGCTCGTGTGAACTGTGTTACCTGTGTTATACTGAACCCGTGACAACCTTAACACACCCCCATTTTACATACCTGAGATCAGTTTCCGTACGCCGTTTACATACCCCAGATCCGTTCTATCCTTCAAGCTCCCGCAGCCTCTGAGAGGAGTATCATGAACCGTCTTTTCTGTTTGACGTGACATGTCTATGTTTTCCAGCAAATCCAAGCTTTACCGGTTTGATAAGGACGGGAACCAATGGAAAGAGCGGGGTGTGGGCCAAGTAAAGCTTCTGGAGCACAAGGATACGAAGAAGATTCGGCTGCTGATGCGACAGCAGAAAACGCTCAAGATTTGCGCCAACCACACAGGTAGGGCAACCCGATCGAATTTGCACATGCATCGCCACAATCATGTGCCCTTGTTTCCACGAATTCATTTCCCAGTGCTCGTTTCACAGGAATGCCGCTTCTATACGAAAAAAGTGGTCTGTTTTTTCTCCGTCTCTGATCACTTATGTCTTGTTTCCAGGAAGAGCTTCGCACTCCTGATTCTCTGTGCTGCTTAAGAGAACACTGGTTCTTTAACTCAAATTCCCCCGTGTATCGTGCTTTCATTGGCCTGCAGTGCTACCGTCGATGTCGCTTCAGGAGCATGCAGGGAGCGACAAGTCCTGGGTGTGGCATGCACAGGACTTTGCTGACGGAGAGCTGAAGAAGGAACTTTTTACCATGCGGTTCGGCTCGCCAGAAAGTGAGTCCTACCTCTTCATTACCTGGATTCGCGCTTTTGATGTTTATTTTGTGGCCTGCTTGTTCACTAGGGTGACAACCTGTTGCATTCCTCGATGGGATTTTAATATTTGTTTTTTTGTTCACGCATCGTGCAACCCTTACAGTCTCCTCTTCCACTCGAACACTCAGCCTGATTTAGACCTCATCTTCTTTCCTCGCCTCCGTTGACAACACTCATTCCCTGACTTCTGTTTTTATCTACCCTTGTTTTCTGTGCAGGTGCTCAAAAGTTTAAGAGTGCATTCGAGGAGGCACAGGAGAAGATGGCAGCAATTCTGGGCACCACAGATGCAGCCAAGGAGGTGGCAAAGGAGGCAGAGAAAACAGCAGAGGAGCTTGAAAAGCTGGCTGTCAAGAAGGATGAGGAGAAGCCAGCAGATTCTTAAGAGTCAAATATACATTTCTCTGTAGAACTTTGCTCCTAGGGTCAGCTCAATTGAAGCAGATAGTATTGTAGTTGTGTCGTGCTCTTGCCTTGTAGGTTGCGTATTTGTTATACGAGTCATATTACGAAGTTCTGTTTTTTTGGGCCTTGCTGAAACAAAACAGATACATCCGCTTGAGAGGTTTCAATGAGTCCGTTTGAACCCCCACCCAACCGTGGGAACCGAACAGCAAAACGAATTCGTTTTATCGCGAACAGCTCGGTCTTGGGAGGTCTTGGAGGGCATGGAGCCTGGCCTGCCACGCGGCACCTTGCGAACATTACACGCAGCGCGAGCGCTGGAGGAATGCAAGCCAGCCAAAGGACTAAAGACTAGAGAAGGGGTGTTGCATGTCCAGTCCATTGTCTATTTTCTAAAGCAATGCTAGTCTACATAATGTGCACAACCAACGGCGCAGCTTGATCTCTCTTGGTTGTCCCGTCACCCATGAGCTGTGGCCTCCTAGCTCCACACATGAAAACACTTCACATTCCTCTCTCACGTGCGCGAACGACGCGCTCTCGGCTCTATTCCATCCTTCCATTCCTATCCCACGCGCTCCTTATTCACTGCCTCTTCTTGTTGCAACTCACCGCTCGTTCTAAGCCTGTCGAGGGAACGTCGATCCACGGCAGCGCAGACTGCGGGCTCGCCGACAGCAGAAACACGGCTGCCGCGGTTGGTCAGGATCTTGACAGCCAATCCGATCTCGAGAATCTAGGAAATCCCGACAGCCACTCCAACACCGAAATTTCCGGGACTTGCGCGGCGGGTCCCGCCATGTCGAATCCCGTAGCTGGCACGCAAGAAGCGGGCTCCACGGCGATCGCGTCCGCGTTAAAGGACGTCCCGGTTGAGCGTATAGTGGGCCCTGGAAATGACGAGGTGGTGAAAATAGGGTCCTTCTGGGAGTCACAGGTGAGAAATGGCTGCCCCGCCGGTCGAGCGCCTGTTTCTCTGGTTCGTTGCAACAAATCTGATTTCATTTTCGTCCATAAATCTACTAGACCCTCCTCTCCTGCAGACTCCTTAAGTACGGGTTCTTTACGACAATTCCGTCGTCTGTTCGAGCCTCCCCACCTTCCACATTCTTCTCCATTCCCGTCTCTCTTCGCCCATCCTATTTATTCCTGCCTTGCCCTCATCCCTTCCCATTCCCTTTTCCTGAAGAATTCATGCCTTTTCGCCCGAATTCCCGAACAATCTCCTCCCCTTCCTCCCCCCTCCCCCATTCCCTCTCCTTTCCCCCTTTTCCTTTCCCCCAGCCCGTGGTGATTCATTTCCTCCGCCGCTTTGGCTGCCGCATCTGCAGGGGGGGAGCCATGGACATGTCGCGAGCCATCCCCCACCTGCACAACGCGGGCGTGCGGGTCGTCGCCATTGGTGGGTGGGTGGGATGGGTGGTGGGTGCCTCGGGTGGGTGGTCAGCGGGTGGGTGGGGAGGTGGGAGGGTGCTATTAGGGGGGCGTCATGGAGATGTCGCTCGCTCGCCATCCTTCCCTCACCTCCACACTGGTCTGTGCGTCCCACCCACCCACGAGGTGACTTGTGAGTCGACTCAATAGTCACCTCATTAGGGGGGCGTCATGGAGATGTCGCTCGCCTTCCCTCACCTCCACAATGGTCTGTGCGTCCCACCCACCCACCCGCTGCTGCATCTGCACTGTGCTACCAACCGCTCGCTCTCTCCTCTCTCACTCACCGGCCACAGCCCCACGCTCACTTTCCCACTCCCTGACCCACTCTCTCCCTCACCCTTGTTTTGTCCCGCCCTCCACTCTCTCCCTCTCCCAACCTTGCTCATCCACCTCCGTGATGCTCACCACTCTCCTATTCTGTTCACCTCCCTCCCTGCTGCTGCTCGTTCCCTCACTGCATCGCTAGGTCTGGCGCATCTGGGATTGGACGAGTTTGTGGACGGCGGCTACTGGAGGGGTAGGGCATCGCTTTTCTTACGCGTCTCTTATGCGCAACCTCCCTCCCTGCCGTCCCTGCTGCTCACCTCCCTCATTTCTGCAGGGTTGGACCATCTGGGGATGGACGAGTTCATAGATGGCGGGTACTGGAAGGGCGAGCTGTACATCGATGATGGCAAGCGCGCCTACCGTGCTCTGCAGCTCAAATCCATCTCCCTCTGGCAGGTGGGTGCACTGCCTGGTGCATGCACAGTGTGCCTGCTGCTTTGTGCGCACACTTGGGTTCCTCTGCTTGTCCTGCTTGGCTGCTTGCTTGGGACGGGCC